GTTAAAGAAAATTTAGCATATGAGAACAAAGAATGGTGTCTGCAATGATTTAACCTCCTCCACTTTTTTCATAAAGCAGAGTTTATGAAAATATATTTACTGCTTTATGTGAAGCTAATAAATTCCAGAACATATTGAACCATTTTGGTAGGCAATGCAACTGAAATTAAGAGCTTTATCCTCAATTTTTTAATCTTTTGTCATATTGCTTCAGATTACCATGTCTTTGTAATGAGTACATAATAGGATGGAGTAGTACTTGTAGATAATGTATTTTTAATTAAAAGTTTACAATGTTTTGTTTGTGGTATTAAACATATTTATGTATTTGAACTATGTAGACAATGATAAAACTGCTCTACTAATTTAAACATTTATGATGCTGTTTAATAGATTTAAACCATGAACAAAATCTGAGCACCAAAAATTGATCTGAGCTCAAAGACCTTTTATTTTATTTTATGTTTTTACCATATAAAATTATGTAAAAATAGTTGAATTTCACCAGTAAAAGGACCTTTAAAAGAAAAGTTCTTTCTGGTCAGATTCCGATTCACTGTTTTATTTATACAAATTCAGTTATTTTTCAATTACACATCAATTAACCTGGAAAAAATTCAGAGGTGTAAAATTCATAGGTGAGTTATAGATATTCTCAGGATGGTGTCTTTAACCATAGAATGATTGCTTCACAAATCAAATGTACAAGTTGTATACTTTCCTATGACTTATAAACAAACAAACAAAAAAAACATGGATATGTGTAAATATTGCCTATAAAGAGAAGGAAGAAATTACTGTGAAACTGTTAGAAATTTTTCTCAGTTATTAATCCTAGACTAGAAATAAAGAATCCAGATGATGTTACATATTGATGATAATATTTCCACTGAAATGCTTTGAAACTCTGTATTAAATATGTAACATTTACATATTGAAATATTATTGAAAAAAATTTATTTTAACACATGAAGGAAAATCACGAAACATTCAAATTTGCTTAGGAAGAGGGAGAGCATGCTGAAAGTCATATGTTTCAGCACTCCTGGTCATATTTAAGACCTAACAGAGGAATCTCAAATTATAATCAAAGCATAGAGACATACAAATACTGTAACTGTCAACTGAGGCCTACATCAGATTCTGACCCAGATCACATTTATTTCCTCAAAAGGAAAATATGTGTCATATTTATAGAGCAGGTGGAATTCTGGGTCAGAATAAGCACAATTTGTAGGAGGGAAAAAAATCCTGTTAATGCGGCTCTCCTTGCCCTAGGCAGTAACCCTTAAAATGTCTTCTGTGGAATTTCAGTGTTTCCTAGTGCTTCAAGGCCTCCTGTTTCAATCCTAGCTGCTCTGGGGAAGACTGAACAGAGTAGCAGCTCAGAGGCACTGTCAGTAGGATAACAGACACTGCTTGTCCTTGCCTTTCTTAAAGGAAATGCAATTTTGAAAGCCCCCCTCCCCCAAAACACCCTCTTAATTGAGAAAACAAATGAAATGAATCTAAGTAAAGAATAATGTCACTTACAAACTCCAATAAGGGCATAAAGTATTTATTAAATTTAAAACACACTGAACATAGCAATGCAGATGAAACAAAAATCTGATGAAAATCACAGTAGTAAGATGTAAGTAAATATAAAATCAAAGAGTTTATTAGAACCCCTAAATAAACACATGTGCATTTTTATTCTCTACTATCAAATACAGGTATTGAAGAAAAATCTGATGAATCGTATTTAGCTACTTTAAAAAACAATTCGATTGCATCATATGTAGAAAGAGAGACAACATGACATAACTAAAAAAATTAAGGGACTTGATATTCTAAGATGTAAAATGTTAGCATTATCATTTATGTTTGAACTTATCTAGGTATATTAACTATTGAGAGTCTATTTCTTATTAAGTATGGAGGTTATAAGGTCTATTTTACATATTATTGTAAAAGTAGATAATGCTTGTAAAAAGAAATATTCAAGAAAAATATACAAGTATTATTAGAATGGAAAGTTTATATTTAATCTATTTAAATTATTTGAATTTAAGGGTAGTGTATAGGACAAAATAAATCTCTGGTTTAGCTCTATGGAAGTGAATGTTTTCTATATCTGGAGAGAAAGTCTTTGACATTTTCATTTCTATTAGATTACTTCCCATTGAAAATGAAGTGAATTGTTAGTGACACTACATGTTTTATAAAACCCATCAGTTCCTTGACTTTGATGTCAGTCAAATCTTATGTTTCTCCTATATAAACTTGCTATTTTTAAACTGCTTACATAGTTAATACACTATTGAAAATGTTATTTTCAGAGTTGTGTTTTCTATCTCAGTTGACAAGTGATTGTAAGAATTTTCTTTAAATAAAGAAGCAACACATTTTTTATCAACTATATGTTTTCTGATAGCAAGAGCAAATTAAGAAACATGGAGTACATTGCTGAAAATACATTTAACCTCTGGTTTATGCTAGACTCATGCTTTTGTCTGATGGCCACTATTAATTTGTCAGAAGGAAGCTAAAGTATAGGATCATAGCAATGTTACCTAATTATATCTTTTAAAAATATATATAAGATTACAGAGAATCATCTTTCTGACCTTAATTTATGAACCATTCATGCACACACACACACACACACACACACACACACACTGTATAAAGACTTGTTAGCTTGAGGTCTCTTTCTCTAAATTGGTCTAACAATTGAATGGATAAACATTTGTTGCTCACATATATAAGAGGAAATACTTTCAGAAATATAGTTTAGTTGGCAATTGCCAGCATTAGTCCTAGGGGGATGTCCAGGTTGAGGGCTCAGTCCCCAGTAGGGGGTATATGGGAGGCAGCCAATCAGTGATTCTCTCTCATCATTGATGTTCCTAATCTCTCTCTCCTTCTCCCTTCCACTCTGAAAAATATATTTAAAATCAATAAAAATATATTTAAAAAATTAAATAACCAAATAAACATTCAAGAAAGAAAAGAAAACAAAGTCAGTATTATAAAAATAAACTTTTAAACCAAGCATGTCAAACTCAAAGGCTAACACAGGCCAAATAAGCGAGGCATGTGGCCCACTGGCCGCGAGTTTGACATGCTTGGTTTAGACAGTGATTTATTTTTTTTGTGTTTTTTTTCAATTTAGTAAACTTTCATTTCAAAAATAAAATAAATACATTGTAGAAAATTCTCACAAGTAAATACACAAAAATAAGAGCACCATAGTAGTTGTCTCTACTATTCAGAGACAACTACTGATTAGTGTCTTATTGTATATTATTCCAGATATTTTTATATGCATCTATGCACACACACACACACACACACACACACACATGCACACACACAGTCTCAATTTTTCCCTACTTGTAATCCTACTGTTTTGTAACCCAATATTTCCAATTTCTGGTCCATACTTAGTGATCCTTCTTAACACACACAGAAAAAAATAAATACCAAATAGATAATTTCTTATCATTTACAGTGATATTGACATATATTTTTTACAAATACATATCACTTATTCTTTGCAAAATAAACATGATGAGTTTAGAGTTTAGTGCAAGTTTAGAATTAACAAAATGTTGGGCACTATTCTAAATCATACTTAAATCCTTTGCAATTAAAAATTGGGCTGAGGAAACAAAAATACACCCTTTTGTAGAATAGTGGCTTTTCAGGGATATGTTGAACATTTGAACTAAAAATTATGCCTTGAGTTGAAAATTTAAAATATTTTCTGAAATGCAGAAATACATAGATACTATTGTATTCTAGAACAAGAAGTTAAAACCACAAATATTACTTTTAAAGAAATATTTTTAAATTAATTTTTAATATTTTATCTTAAAAAAAACAATAAAAATCCACTTTAAAACTACATCTTTCCGACAAGCGTGGCTCAGTAGTTGAGCATTGACCTATGAACCAGGAGGTCACTGTTCAATTCCCAATCAGGGCACATGCCCAGGTTACAGGCTCCATCCCCAGTGTGGGTCATGCAGGAGGAGGCTAATCAATAATTCTCTTTCATCATTGATATTTCTATCTCTCTATCTCTCTCCCTTCTTCTCTGAAATCAATAAAAATATATTTCAAAACAAAACTACATCTTAGCCAACAATGTTAAGAATAAAAATCTCTACTCAGTCTCTTTCTAATCCCTCTTTGGTTCTATTAACACCTTTTTATGTAATACCTAATTTGTAAACCTGTTTTATGGCCAAATGATGCTTAGGCACACGTTTGATAATAATATGTACTCCTGTCATCATAACTCTGATTCAATCTTTATCTTTCTCCTGTCAACAGAGTTGCCTTTGCCAGAGTTTGAAATAGCACTTCTGCCAATACATCTCTTAGTGGTATCCTCATATTTTGGAGGAGTGGGGTTCAACAAGGGGTGATTTGTGTAGACATTTGACAATGTCTAGAGATAGTGTCATGGCTGGAAGATAGAGGTGCTACTGACACCTAGTGGGTGGAGGCCAAGGATGCTCCTAACCATCCTAAAAAGCACAAGCCAGTCACCCACAACAAATATAATATCAAGCCCAAAATGCCAAATGTGCCACTGTTGAGAAAGCCTATTTTAGAGAAAATGTTGAAAATAATATTACCTAATACCACAATCTAATTAAGATGTGTTTTCCATTCACTTATAGATAAAAGTTACATTAAAATAATTTAAAATGCTCATATATTAACATTTTGGCCTTAGTTCTTCATTGTCACCACATTTTATATTATTTTTTTATGAAATTGCATGTGTGGCTGCTCATATCCCAAGATTAATTGTATGTGCATGAATTATTACTTGAAAAAACAACTACCTATTTAACCATGAAAGTTTTGCTATAGCTCTAAAGCATTTTTATTTTTATTACATCTAACTGACTAGATTTGTGATATGTGGATATGTACAATGGCTCTTTGCTCTTCCTCTGTCTTTTCTCTCTTCATATTTTTTTTTCCATTCTGGTTGGCAGAACTCCTCTAATTGCAGCCGGAGTCATTGGAGGGCTCTTTATCCTGGTCATCATGGGTCTAACGTTCGCAGTTTATGCGAGAAGAAAGAGCATCAAGAAGAAAAGAGCCTTGAGAAGATTCCTGGAAACAGAGGTGACCTGTTTATTTCTTCTCTTCATGTGTTTAGGGATTTTCATTAGGTTTGGAGGTTTTATAAGATACTCAATTTTTAATCCAAGTGAAAATTTTGTTCAGAGGGCTTATATTTTATTGTAGGTTATATAAAATTGATGAAAAAATCAGAGTATATAGTAAAAGTAATCAAGGCATGTTCATGGCTTAAAGAGGATCAAAAGCAGAGGTCAAGGAAATTACCTTATTGAGGAAAAGACAGATGTTTCTTTGGGGGAGGGGTCCCATTATCATGCTCGAGTATATCTAGAAATTATCTGGATAGAGGATATCTCAGTAGCAGATCTAGAAAAATGTTAGGGATAGTTTTTTTCTGGTTCAAAATAAAGCCAGACAGGCAAGCAGTTTATGCTTTAATTGGGGTCATTATTCCAGCAGTGAAAGGCTGAGCTTACAGGATAAAGCTTAGTGTTGTAATCACACAGACCTTACCACACAATTTATGAGATGCATTTAATATTGTGCATGTTAGTTACTGTGAATATGTAAATTACCATATATTATTATAATTTCTTTTCTATTGCTATGAGTTCCCTAGCATGAAAGCTGATAGCTTTCACTGTACTGGTTATAGGGAAAAAACAATTACAGAAGAATATGTATTACCAGATTCTTCGTAACTGGAATACTATCGCTTCCTCCTGATACACACACTCCTGCCAGGCTGAGCTATTCAGAGCTAATCTGTTCTGAGACATAGCCTACCTTGGGTTTTGTTTCGTTTTCTAATTGGCAGTATGACAGTCTTGATTTTTCCTCCTAACAATAACAGAAATGGAAATATTCAATCATTCATAAATTTTGCACAGATAATGAATTAAATTTTAGCTTTTTTCTCAAGAAATCATAATTAGATAGAAGAAGTTACTTTATAGTTACATATATTAAAAATGCTTCCTAAGGATTAGAGTTATTTAAAATTAGAATGGGCTGTCCCATCAATAGATATGAGTAAACTTTCAAAAGGTAGTTAGTTGTATACATGGGACAACATAGTAGTGATTTCTAGTTGAGTTGGATGTTTACAGAGCAACTTGGTTTCACGCTCACACATGTGATGAAACAGTGCATGTGCTGTGTATATTTTCAGCTTAGGTAGGATGCTGGAGGCAGATAGAATCTCCCTCATGTTTAGCTTGGGGCAGTCAGCGAGAGAATTCTGGAAAGTGAATAAATAATATTTGGAGAGGAATTGAAGGCTTGGGACAGCCGTGGACATTTAGGTGATGGAATATATAGAAGAAAAATTATGTCTCTTAACCAGGTACAGAAAAACTCATTGTTATGAAAAGAGTTGTTTTGTTTTGTTAGTATGGTGCTTTCTAAGAATGTCCTTCAAATTGGGATTTTATTACCAAATAAACTTATACTGATTGGTTCCAAAAGAAAATTCTATTTATGCAGAAAGTTATCTACAAATTCTATTTATGTAGAAAGTTATGTAGGACTAAATTAGATAACTGTTGAATTCATTCCTATCTTTCTCTCAGTATAAGTAAATAGCTATGATTTTTTACCATCTAAATAGAAGAGGGATTTTTTAAAAATATATTTTTGTTGACTTCAGAGAGGAAGAGAAAGAGAGAGGAGAGAGAGAGGGAGAGAGAGAGAGAGAGAGAGAGAGAGAGAGAGAGAGAAACATCAATGATGAAAGAGAATCATTGATTGGCTGCTCCTACACACCCTACACTAGGGATCAAGCCTGCAACCTGGATATGTGCCCTGATTGGGACTTGAACCATGACCCCCTGGTTCATAGGTCAATGCTCAACCACTGAGCCATGCTGGTTGGGCAATAGAAGAGAAATTTTTAAGAGGATTGACTTAAATCCTTAATATTGAAGCTGGAAATTTGACTCACCGGTGAACAGTTTATTAAAGCATGGGATATTAGAATGTATTTCAAGTTGCCATACTTTTCCAAAACTTTTGCTTCAGATTTTTGTCTTTCTTCTGTTACAAAATAAAAGTAGGAAATGTATATTTTTCCAACACATACTTACTGAGATGCACTGTGAGCTTGACACTTTGATAGATGCTGTAATGTATTAATGACAGCTGATCCTACCCCTGGAAGAGTGACAGATTCAGTGCCTACATATGACAGGCAATGTTCCAAAGTTTTCACTCTATATTATATACCATTGCCTTCTTTAGCAATCTTCTAAGGTAATTATTTGTTTACCTGTTTCACTGATGTGGAATGAGGGGGCAAGAAGGGTAAGTTGCTTTCTAAGCCTGTGAATGGTAGCCCTGGTATACAAACCTATGACTGTAAATGTAATTCTTTTTCCACTATTTTGGCTCACAAAATGAAACTATCCTTTATTTAAAGGTATAATACTCAAATTCCTGGGAGGGAAAAACAACATGTTTTAAGACAATTTTAAATGATACCCCAGGAAATTGTAAGAGACTAAACATCTCAGGTAGAATTGTGAAGCTTTCAAAATATGAAATGATTGCATTGTCTATGCCACAGCACAGATACAATATATATATTTAAATAAAGCTAACCTGAAGTAGGAAATCTAGTCTCTAATCTTGCAGATGATTTTATTTGACTTTTGTACAGGGTTTTTAAAAATAATTCATAAAACTTACTCATTGTGTGTTTATCAAAATGTACTAACCAAATGCTACACAACAGAGGCGAATTCAAATCAAGGAGACTCTCTTCAGGAGACCCCTTTTTTCAGATTTAACAAAGAATTTTGTGATTTGTTTCCAAGATTTCTTTTATGTGACTTAAATGCAGTTATGTGTTTTAACAATGTAAATTTGAAGATGAAATAAAAGTGTATTAGTTGTCAGACTGTTAGAAAACAACCTAAGTTTATTGATAATTTGTATCATCTTCTTCCCAAAATTCTTGCCATGGCTAAGCTTACCTCCATTCAACACTCTGTGCAGCTAAATTCAGTGAACCATGATGTTCACAGAAGCATAATAATAACCACACTGGAGGGCCACGGTGCACTTACCCCTATAAACAGACATCTTGTAATATGGTGCTGGTTTTCAAGATAATTTGAGTAGGAGTAGCCTTTAATTACTCCCTTATGCTGATAAAGTACAAGCTATTTGTCTGTGTTTAAAATTTAGCTCCTTTATTTAACTTAATAAAACAGCAACTTCTATTTCACTTGCCTTTTCCTTAAGCATAATTAAACATCTAAAATTTGAACATAGGATATAGACGTTGTGGTGCCAGGGTCTCTTCATTGTCTACATTTTTTTTTTCTCACATAAGCAAGACATTGGCACACATTCACATACCTTTCCCCTTGCTTATTCACCCTCTCTGACTGAATGGCACCTAAACTATGACATCTAACAGTACCAGCCTAAGTTTACCTCCTTCAGCCACACCCAGTCCACATCATGCTCTCGTGGTCCCCACCCTTCAGACCTGTTCCACTCCCTGTGGTACCCTCCTTCTCCTTGATCCTGTGTCTAAACTGTTCATGGTGGCAGTGTCCTCTTTCATGACAACATGCTTTTCATCATATCAAGAACAGTTTTAGCGTTCTTCCTTCAGGAAACCAAACCTCATGAATCTCACTCCTTGGTGTAGTTTTATTCCTTTGCATTTCCTAGCATTCACTCATGATCTAGAATAGATTCACAGCATTTTATAATTTTTTGATCTAGAACATATCTGGGTCCTGCTACTTAAAATATGTTTAGGGACCATCATCATACAGAGGAATCACTTGGAAGATCTGTAAAAAGCAAATTTCAGCCCCAACTGCAGACCTACTGAACCAGAATCTGCCATTTAGCAAGGGCTTCAGGTGATTGATATGTACATGGAAGTTTTAGAAGCACTGTCCAGGAGTATTGGCATTGTGCTAACTCATGTTTACTCTGGCTATTAAGTGCCAAGTAGGCACCATTTCATGTTTTGATCTGCCAAACCATCTTAAATGAGAAAGAAAACTTCACTAGAGTATGCAGGCATCCAAGTCTTAGCTGGAAATGCCAAAAAGAAAGGGGCTTGAAAAAGTAGAATGAAGAGCCTCTAATTAGTCTCTAAGTTTTTCTAAAAATGGGGAGATGGGAATCTCTTAGCCCGGTATAACTCCAGCTCACCAAGTCAAGGAGCATGAGCAGAGAAAGGATAGGGTCTGAAGGAATGGTGACATCCATCTTACAAAAATATTGGTTTTCAAGAAAACGTGTGCTTGTGTGTTTTTGTATGTGTGAGAATGGGAACCAGCGAGGGATAGAGAAAGAGAGAGAGGCACTGGTTGTTGGATTGGAAGTTGTAACCTGTCTCATTTATTTATTTTTAGTTGGTAGAACCCTTAACTCCAAGTGGCACAGCGCCCAATCAAGCTCAACTTCGTATTTTGAAAGAAACTGAACTCAAAAGAGTAAAAGTACTTGGTTCAGGTGCTTTTGGAACCGTGTATAAAGTAAGTAAAAAATTAATATGTACTATCAGTTATTTTAAGTTTGCCCCATACTTGTTTTAATTAATAGCCAGAGTTATTGCTCTAATCAACTTTTTTCCCTTTTAATATCCAGAGAGGAGAAGCCTTATAATATGGAGATGTTGATGCACAAATGAATTCATTAGTTTTTATTAATCAGGTTGGGAATGGGTACAAATGTGAGAGAGCAGCAAACATTGGTACAAAGCCTAAGTTTAGTTCTTTCCCTCAACACCTTGGAGCCCCTTTTGATATCATCTCCCCTCGGACAAATTTTATCCTCATCCAAAATATCCAGCTCCCAACCCCTACACAGAGCTCTACAAAATCCCAGACAGGCCAGGTATGTGTCGCAATCGCTCCCTCTTCTTTTCTTCTCTTTCATTCAAACTTCTCCCCATTTAGCTAATCTCATTAGAATCCACACAAGTGTGCTGGCTCCTTAGTAGGACAGGACTAGTACCTAAACCACTTTTTGTCTTTCTGGTAACATGTATGATTTCATAGAAAAATATCCAGTTTTGACATCCTCACCATTGTATGCAAACTAAAAAAGTGAGTATTTTTGTGAAATTCAGGTCAGACAGAAGGAGAGGGTAACATCACCCATTTTCAATAAGAGAAGCATTTCTGGAAAGGGAGAGTTCAAATGGTGGCATTTGTATGTTTACTTTTTAGCTTAATCACAAAACCAATTCAGAGTCCAGGCCCACGATTAACAGTGGTGAAATTTATTTTCGATGGTAATTAACACGAAGAAGAAATTCTGCTTGGTCAGTGCTAAATAGTTCTTGTAATATTCATTCTTCCAATTTCCGAATTTACTTTGCCAGTTTTATATATTTCTTAAAGCTACATGCAAGCCTACATTTTTATAAACATACTAGAGGTCCGGTGAACAAAATTCATGCACTCGGGTGGGGGGTCCCCCAGCCTGGCCTGTGCCCTATCAGTGTGGGAGCCCCGCAATCAATAGTCCCAAAGAGGTTGGCCCCGCCCACCCATCTTGGGCTCCTCCATGGATTGCCCCGAAGAAGTAAGCCGGATCCAGGGGTCACACCTCTAAGCCGTGTGGAGCCGGGAGGCGGGGATCCCCAGGACCCTCAGGCAGGTCTCGCCACACGGAGCTAGGAGGAGGCGGGACACCCAGGCAGGCCTCACCAGACTCCTAGGCAGGCCTCGCCTCAAGGAGGTGAGACTCCCAGGCAGGCTCCATACCTCACATGCAGCGTCAAGCCCAGCCCCACCCACCTGCATACGCCCGCTGTGCGTGCAGCCATCTTGTGACGGCATGAGGGCATCATGGTGTGACAATTACTTAGACTTTTATTATTAGTAAGGATCTGTTAAAATAGATGGGATCTTAGGAATTTTGCATTTTTAAATGTTTAATTTTTTCTATTTAAGACAAAAATTTTGAAACAAAATTTTAAAAATTAAAATATAAATCTTAATTTTCTATACTGAATGTTTCAAAAGCAATAAAATTTCTTTCTTAAAAATTGTTTTATTCTAAGGTTAAGTTTCTTAATATTTTAGTATACATGTTTTATTCAATTAAATTCAAAATTACTATTATTATTATTTTCATTTCCTTGAATTTTTATTGAATTATTGGGGAGACATTGGTTAATGAAATTATTAAATAAGCATGTAATTGAATAGAAATGATGTAGGCCTACTTGATGCCTTCTACATATCATTTCTTTGTATGTTCAAAGAAACACAATTTATCCTGTTTCTCTATTTTTATTATGGTAGAAAAAATGGACTTTCATTTATAAGACAACTCAGTTGTTAATTGTTTCCAGCAGACTATCACGCTTATATTTTTTTCAAAAATGATATGGTTTTGAAATTGAATATTATTTTAAATCATTGGTACCATATGACTCAATACTAAATATGACCTTGTGATCTCAACAGGGAAAATATTACCCATTTAGGGATTTTTAAAAAGCTTTATTAATATTTTCACTAAGAACAAATATTTGTCTATTGACCATGATGTTGTACCTTTATGAAAATTACTTGCATTGAAAGGTTATTGAACATTCCATAAGTATGTTTGAGTCATAACTGTAGTGTGTCTATCATTAACCCTATGTCTTAAATAATATGTTAATTCTTACAAGGACATACTGTTTAAACTATAAAGAATTATTTTTGACTACACAGTGCAAATTGACTTAGGCAATTATTTGGTTAATTATTTCTCCTGGTTGGATATATTCTCTGTTTAAACATAAAAGATTTGAACTGATATTATGGGTATCTTTGTCTGGTGGGACCTAGAAATTAATGACTATACTTATTTAAAAAGCATTGCAAATTAGTTAACACTGAATTCATATTTTTACTTCAAAAGTATGCTTTAGGAATATTTTAATATTGATGCAATAGCTTTATAGGTTAATCTCTCTGATGTTACCTTATTGAAAAATAGTAAGTCTGTTCTCCACCCTAGGAACCATCATTGAGAAAATGTAGCCTATGGATGATGGGCTTTTGTTTGTTCCCCCCATTTAAGCATTAATAATTTTTGAAAATTGTTATATAACAGGGAACTTGTTTTTTTGCACTTGACATACAGATTTCCCTTTTCATTCTGAAATGAATATAACCTTTATATTCACCTTCTAAAGGTTTATGTCCATTTTTTTCTTTATTATTTTGACTCTTTAATAATTCTTGTTTAGATCTCCCCTTACCTTATTACAACTTTGGGTATCACAAATACATATTTTGCATAGAAATACAATGTAGAAAAAAGTTTAATCTTTTCTTTATGACTACAACCAGCTAACTTTAAGGAAGACATGAAGTAGAGATGTTCTGTTCAGGAATCACAGACTGTTTTTTTCTTTCTTTCATTTTAATGTTAAAACTGACCTAAGATGATTCTTTCAGTTTCAGAGCTAACAAATAAAAAATTTGAGACTTTTAAAATATAACCTCATATTTCCTTATGTGTTCATTTGAGACAATATACTTTAAAAATATTCTTGTATATTGTATAAGTATACATTTACACAATTGAATACTATGCAGCTGTAAAAAGAAGCTCTTCTTACCCTTTGAGACAGATGGAGGGACCTGGAGAGTTTATGCTAAGCGAAAGAAGCCAGTCAGAGAAAGACAAATATCACATGATCTCACTCATATGTGGAATCTAATGAACAACATAAACTGACGAACAAAATAGATCCAGAGCATGGATGAATCTCAGAGGGAAGGGGAGAAGGGAGTGGGAAGAAACTATCCAAAGAACTTAGATATATAACCCATGGACACAGACAATAGTGTAGGCCTGGGAGGAGTGGTGCAGGGTGGAACTGGTCAATGGGGGAAGCAAGGGACATTTGTAATACTTTAACAATAAAAATAATTTTTTAAAAAAGCACCTACCTCAGAGTATTATGAGAAATCCAATAAATTGTGTGGTACACAAAATATCTCAATAAATATTAATTATTATAATCCTTGTCACCTGTTAAAGGATGATCAATTTTTCCTCAGCCAGCAGTCTGTCACCTGATAGTTGAATATTCTTTCAATATAATTTGAGAATGAAAAAAAAAATCTTGTGTAATACATGCATCCAACTAAGTCTTACCAAAATCATGGTCCTTAATCAAATGAGTTAGTTGTTTATGCAGAAATCCTGTTATTTAGTTTAATGTTGTACTTTACTTAAACTCTGTATACTTTTCCAATATACAAATCCTGTTCAGATATTATAATTACATTTCCATAAGAAGAAAGAACTGGCAATGGCCCAAATAAATCCTATATAATAAAAGCCTAACATGCAAATTTAGGACCGGGAGTTTGACCAGGGGGTGGGGCCAGCTGGCCAACCACCCGAGGCTCCTCTCCCCTGTGGGATAGTGCAGCCACGGCAGGCAGCTGGGGGAAGGGAGGCCTTGGCTGGCAGCCAGCAGCCAGTAGGGACCCTACCCATGCATGAGTTTTGTGCACTGGGCCTCTAGTATTTTATATTACTTCAGAGATAAAAATCCTTAATACACAGCACTATTTAATAATATAGACAAATCAATATGTGCTTAATACTCCCTAGTATTTGCCTTTGAAAACTAATTCTTAAATAATCACCTTAGAAAATTAATTTGTAAATTAAACTTCAGGAACATGAGAACATTTCTTTTTTCTTTTTCTGGTTTCAGGATTAATTAGATAATATTAAAGCTGCAAAGAACCTCCAGTATTACTTAGTCCAACCTTCTAAATTACAAATGAGACAATTGAAGTTCAAAAATTGGAACAGCCTTCTCAAAGTCTTGGAAAGTTGATGATATAATTCACATCAAATATATTATTATATCTTGTTTCAATGAGTTTTCACTATTCACCGCCTTTTTATGCACACAAATGGAATTTTATAATAGTGTAAACACCCTGGAAGCAGAACACATGTACAATTCATCTTCAGATTACAAAAGCAGACAAACAAAGTTGCTGAGTAACTTGTAACATAAAACAGGTGCTTGATAAATATTTGTTGATTACATGAAAGAATATAGAACTTGTAAATTATGTTTAAGGAATTAATAGGTTGAGTGTTAAATCAAATTTTGTTCCTAGATTGAATATTGTATATGTTTTAATAAAGATTTAATGTGAATTTTTTTTCCCTCAAAGGGTATCTGGGTACCTGAAGGAGAAACAGTGAAGATTCCTGTAGCTATTAAGATTCTTAATGAAACAACTGGTCCCAAAGCCAATGTGGAATTCATGGATGTAAGTACAGACATAGGCAATCACATTTTTGTCTATTCTTAAATACTGCTTTTAGAATTTTAAAAAAAGACTCTAAAAATGTTATAATCTTATTAAAATTAAAAGCTTGAGCTGGGAGTCACAAACTTTTGTTTAAAAGACTACAGAGAATAAATAGGCTCTTCTGCAATGTGGTCTCTGTGGCAGCTACTCGACTCTGTCTTTTTAGTAAGTATGTAGCCATAGACAGAGGAAACACAGAAGTGGATATGACTGTGTTCTAGTAAAACTTTATTTTCACAAATAATCTGAAGTACAGACTTGGCCTGCAGGCCAAACCCTGCCCGCAAGGGCCATGTGTTTAATATGACAAACTGCATTTGGGAGTAGTGATGATGATTTGAAAAATTATTGGGGCACTGGATATTATTGTTGTTATGACTTGTTTAGTTGAAAACATCAATAGAGAGTAATTAATGTAGTAACTTAGTTTGTATTGAATTTAAATTAGGAATCTACCTAAATCAAATAATTACCCATTGAAATTTACTTTTATTCAATTCAAGATCTTAAAGGTAAAAACTGTAACTATAAAATAAGAGAGTTCTGAAGAATAAAATTACTTTATAAGGTCAATCAGAACTTTAAGATATCCCCTGGCAAAACCTGTGGATTGAGCTGTTCAGCAAATTTCAGTAGGTAGGAGAGATGAAGCTATACACATAGCATGCTGTTATTTCTACCCAGTTTCTCTTATAAACTCTTTTGTAAATTTTACAGGAGCTCAGTGTGTGACCTTAGAAATTTTATCTGGGTACGATGCTAACCATCTTATGTAGAACTGCTTTTAGTTTAAATTATTATTGGTAGTAACAGGGCTGGTAATGAGCTAATACAAACCTGCTGCTCTGATCAGTTGGTGCTGTGCCTTATCAATTACTAAATATGTTAAATATCACCCCTGTTACATATCTATCAATGTTATCTGTGAACGTGGAGTTCTTGGAAAAGTAATTAGCAGAGGCCCCCATGGGAGGATAGGGTTTCATAGAAAGCTTGATGATGTAAAATAAACAGGGTTCCCCTCCAAAATCCCGCCTTGCCATGGAAAAAGCTCAATCTTGTCTTCAGCAGGGCCAGGATTAAGGCCACTATCCAGAATATCTGTTCCAAATTAAAATACAGTGCAGTCTAGTCTGCATCTGGCTAGCTTAGCTTGTGTTTCCAGCTGTAGTCCATTGTGTGTGGGGTCCTCATGGCCATGCTTAAGGCCACATGGCTCTGGAGAGAGAACAGGTGAGCACATGGTGAGTGCAGGTCACAGAGCAAAAGCGCGAGAGGGAATCAGGAGTAAGAAGACTCTTTATCTGGGTATTTTTTCCCTTCCTGGATTTTTCACCTTGTAGTGGCTCCCACCCTCCTAGCCAATGATCCTTTTATCCAGACTGGCAAGCAAGCACCTCCCCTTTGTCACTCTGACTTCACTGCGCATGTCCATCCCTTTGTTCAATCCCTCCCCACAGTGATCTGCAGGGAATGGCCTGGTGGTTCCCTGCGGAGTGTGAAGCTGTAGCTTCCTGGTGAAGCTGCCCAGATGGCCATGCTTACAATGTCTGGCCTCCCCTTTGCTTTCTTCCTATTACTAACATTAACTAGCTAATTATGATGATAACACCAAACCTATCTATCAGATGTTGAGTCTAGTAACTTAAATAATATTTCCCTCTGTAGGCCTCTAAAAGTTCTGACACTCTGCGGCTACATGTCCTGGTTCATATATTAAAATGTAAACCTGAAGCCTTGTCCAGTGATATCACAAACCAATGTGATCTTGCTGTAAATTTGTGAAGAGAATTTTCAAAGAAAGTAGAAATTAGAAAGGAAATGCCAAAGTGTAGGAACAGTGTAGGTTAATATGTAAAACTTAGAAAAAAGATCTTGCCCAGCCTAGACTGCAGCGGAAGCTGAAATTCACAAGAACGCTAATGGTCTCTGCAGGAAGCTTGTACAGCCATTTTTGTCATATTTCCATGGAAACAGACCGGCAAAAAGGGGTTAAGAGGCTACAAAATCATCATCTAAGAAAGAAGCTCTAAAACCCTCATCATGATTTTGAATGATTATTTGAGAGCTCCTAACCCCATCTATTTCTTTTTCCCTGATCTGAGGTCTATTCCCATGGTAACATGAGTGAGGTGGCAGCTTTAAGTCTTAGGTTTCTGCTGAATTTGAAATGAAGCTGTGATGGAGTCATGAAAGGAGTCATTTTCCTAGATGGTTGATGGATGGTGATTTGTTTTGTTTGTTTTTTAAGTTTTTTAAAAGTTAAGGAAAATATTTTGACTGTTCCCATTGTTCCTTGTGGATGAATGCTACAAGATTAGCAGATTGGTCAATTGCTATTGGCAGAATATCAATACATAACAAGCAGAAACACTTCTTACTATTTTTATGACATTTAAAAACATTATAAGGTTAATACAATGATTAAAACACAGTTTAGCCCGAGCCAGTTTGGTTCAGTGGATAGAGCATCAGCCTGTGGACTGAAGGTTCCTGGGTTCCATTCCAGTCAAGGGCACATACCTTAGTTGCAGGCTCGAATCCCTGGCTCTGGCCTGGTCAGGGCACGCGGAAGGCAACCAATGGATGTATCTCTCTCACATCAATGTTTCTCTCTCTGTCTTTCCCACTCCCTTCCACTCTCTCTAAAACTCTTGGGGGAAACTATATCCTCAGATGAGGATTAATAAAACACAGTTGAACTGGCAAAATTAATGGTGAATTTAGTAGTATTTGAAATAGCCTGGTATAATTTTAAGGCAAACATATGCCTACATCTCATACCTACATATTTAGCTCATCAATTATGTGTGCAGATCATTATAAAAACTTGAACAACATATTAAATAACAATAAAAAGGTTTGTGTAAGCAAAATTATTTGTAATTTGTACCTAAGTATTAAGTTGAAATTTCAAATATTCCCAGGATTATTAAATTAAAACTCATATGGTTGGCATATGTCTTAGTCTAGATTCTTCTAGAAGCAAAAGCTGAAGGTAAGACAAGGATTTGAGTGAAAGTAGTTCATTTGGGAGGTAAAGGACTATCAGTAGGACAGTATGGAAAGGAGACAGGGGAGTCACTAATGCAAGCTGCCGTGGTGAGTGACTGGACCTTTATTTATTTTACTTTTTTCCCATTGGAGAGACTCTGGCAGCCAGTATAGGACATATACTTCAGGGTTATCCTACTCAAGGGTTATGGAAGCTGATGTAAAGACTCCAGCTGCCAGTCATTGGTTGAATGCTCTTGCATGTCCTACCTGCCAAGGGTGGTAAAACAGGCTTAGTAGAAAGAGCTGTTGGGCAAAGAAAGGCAGGTAGAAATCAGCTAGTACAGAACTAGACTAGAGTGTTCCAAGCATAACTTTCAAACTCAGATAAGGTCTACTGCAACCATGCCACCTGTCTCTTTCACAAACAAATGCATGTGTGTATTTGTATTATCTGTACCTGTGTGCATGTGTTTTATACCATTTTTATAGAAGATTCCAAACACAATGGGAACTGCATACTCTTATTAAGCATTAGACATCTCCCCCACCACTCCCCAAACTTTACACTTAGGATCGAGTATTCTGGATTCAATAACCTCTCCTACTAGTTTTATCTGACATAGCTCTGCTTTATTGGTTATTATAATAAACAATACAAATGCAGCAACTTAATACTGAAAATTCGCTGCATTTGACATTTCTATTGATATCCAAGGGCAAAGGAGAGGACTTTTACATTTTCTTAGAATATTTACTATAGGAAAAAAATAAATAAGAAGCAATTTGTGTTCTATTAAATGCTACATTAAAAGCTAGAGAAGGAGAATTTGGTCACAAGGCTGTTACTCAGCTCACCTGAATATGTCTAATGGATTCATAATGACAGTAATAACATACTGCTAGTGAATGGCCAGTACACTCTTCATTCCCATAAAGGAATATCACATTGAGCGACATTTAGAAAATTATTCTAAAGGTCCACCTTTATAAGAAGAATGCTTACATCTATTCCTAGTTATTTCAAATAATACTGTTTCATTGGGGAAACGCTTCATTTTGTTTTGTCTTTTATTTCATGTGGTGTAGTACACATACCTAAAAATGAGGCTATTGAACAGGATTCTTGGAATTGGGATCTATGGTCCATTTAAATCAAGCAGGTTCTTAAGTTTTCCTGAGTTTCCACCATTATTGTGATTTTTCCCCCTGATATTTAAATCCACTATCACTTGACGTAATTATATTTGCCTAGGAAGGAAATATGTCTTTAATTATTTTAAATTAATTTGTTTTCTTAAAAATTAATATTTGGAAAAAAGAAGTTCTATAATTATCCTAAATTCTAGTGCCTTATCAATAATGGTTAAATTTAGCTGAGTCTCCTTGGCTTCAGTTTCACCACCAAATCAACTACAGAGTTCACAGTCAAGTGCTGCAAGGAAATGAATTTCAAATGACCCAGACTTATTGCGTAAATGGTGATTTTCTTATTAAAAGAAGAATTATTTCTTTCCCTCACCCTATACAATAGGACATCCTGTTTATCTTATGCTACTGTCATGTTGCTATTTTTTGGAAGTAATTTTCATGTGAATTTTTTATATGTTTCTCTTTTATATATCACCTTTATAACAGTCAATGTCTTGACAGGAGTTGTTTCAACACTAACTTATGTCATATTAGTGGGTTGAACTAATATAATTTGTTGCCAGAATTTGTATATTCTCTCAGATTATAGCAGACCTATCACAAAATGATTTGAAAAGATATTTTTTCTACAACCGTATTTTTACATTAAATGCATATAGCTTTATGCATTTAACACTAATTCTTAGCTAGACTCCGTGTCATAGTAATAGTGGATTTTCAAAAAATTCATATAATTTAATCCAATCATATTTTTAGACTTTATAGATTTTTCTCATTTACATACATGAATATAATTCATCAATTTTAGAAGT